GTCAAGCACCCCCTATTCTCTTTCTCCTCCTTCTCCTCCCTCCTCCTCCTCCTCCTCCGCCTCCTCCTTCTCCTCCTTCTCCTCCTCCTCCTCCTCCTTCTCCTCCTCCTCCTCTCCTCCTTATCCTCCTCCTCCTCCTCCGCCTCCTCCTCCTTCTCTTCATCCTCCTCACTCCATCATGACGTGTCTGTTCTGCTCCCTCCTCCTCCTCATCCTCCTCTTCCTCCTCTGTCTCGTCCTCCTCCTCCACCTCCTCCTCCTCCTCCGCCTCCCCCTCTTCCTTCTCCTCCTCCTCCTTCTCCTCCTCTTCTCCGCCTCCTTCTTCTGTGTTCGCCTGCTCCCATGGCGATTCGGCGGCGCCCGTAAGGGCACCGCGACGCGCGCGCGCGAGAGGGGGCGCCGGCGGCGCCGAAGGGGTGCCTCTTTCGAGTTGCGCACGAAGAGGGACAGCACCTGAGGGGCCAGGAAGAATTTGCTCCCCAACCATCCTGTGTTGAGTTGGGCCTCGTCCTCCTTTTGAATCCGTATCGCCCGGCGTCCTCCCTCCTCTTTGTTTTTTCTCCTTCTCCTCCTCCTCCGTCCTCCGTCTCTCCTCCGTCTCTCCTCCGTCTCTCCTCCGTCTCTCCTCCGTCTCACCTCCGTCTCTCCTCCTCGTCCTCCTCGTCCTCCTCGTCCTCCTCCTCCTCCTCCTCCTCCTCCTCCCTCCTCCTCCTCCTCCTCCTCCTCCTCCTCCTCCTCCTCCTCCTCCTCCTCCTCCTCCTCCCCCCGCCCCCTCCCGCGCCAGGTTGGATGCAGGGCTGGGCGCTTGTGAATTTCTCCAACGGAGCAAGGGGCCGCGCAAATTGTACACGGGCGGTCGCAACCCGCGTTTTCTGCACGCGGGCGGGCTGCACTCTTGATATTGTTGCACAGACGGCCCGTTTGCTCCCGACCGCGGGGACGGCGCTGACGATGAGGGGCGCGAGCGCAACGCAGTCGTCACTCCCGTGGGGGTGCACCGCCCTGCTCCAGCAACCCCTCGCCATGGACATCGAGAGCGCTTTTGCGTCCGGCATGTGACAAGTGGCGTGGCGCAGCGGCGGCGGGCCTGCCCCTCGCCGATCCAGTGAATGATTCTCTCGGCGTGTCCCCCCCCCTGCACCCCTGCTGCCTCGAGCGCGGACCAGCCCGCTCTTGGCGCGGGCTCTGGTCTGGGGTGCAGCCCCTCTCCGCGCTTCCCCCTGGGCGGCCGCCCCCCGCCCCCTCAGCTCTTGCCCGCCGCCTCACCCCCGCGGGCCCGCCCTCGCCGCGCCGCGACCTACCCCGCCGCGCTTCCTTGTCGCGGCGCTTGCTGCCCTCCTCACTGCGGGTCCCCGCTGGCCCCCTGCTGCCTCGGGCGCGGATCTGCCCGCCCCTTGCGCGGTCACCGGCCCAGGTTCCCTCGCGTCCTCTGGAGGCCTCCTAAGTTGGCAGCTCGTTTCGTTTCGCCTCTGTCCGTGGCTCGCCGCCTCATCCCAGCCCCCTGCCCCTCGCTTTCTCAGCACGCGGTGTTTCGGCGGCCGCCGCGTCGGGCGTTGGCTCCCCCTCCTCCGCAGGTCCCCCGGTCCTCAGCTGCCTCGGGTGTGGACCTGCCCGCTCGTGGTGCTGTTTCAGGTCTCAGGTCCTCCGCGTCCCAGGTCGGGCGTCTCTCGCGGCGTGGCTCGACCCCTGCGGCCCCGCAGGGTGGCTGCCTCGCCGCCGCCCCCAAGGGCCCCTCGGTCCGCCCGCCTCCGCCCTGGAGGTCGGGCTCGCCGCCCTCGCCCTCGCCCCGCCTCGGCGGCTTCTCCGCCCCGCCTGGCTGGAGAGGCGCGGGCGCGCATTAAAGGAGTAGGCGCATATTTTCTCCGTGCGGTGCTCACCGCGGAGAGCGTTTGCATTGAAGACGGCGCGGCCTCTCGGACAGGCCTGGCTGACGGCCGCCCCTTCCGTCGGCCCCGCTGCTGCGGGCCGCGCCGCGGCGCCCTTCTTGCTGCGGGCCGCGCGCTGCCCGCCCACCTTTGGCGCGGCGCCCTCCTGCCGCCCCGTGCCAAGATGGCGCCGCGCCGAAGTCGGAGAGGAGAAGGAGGAGGAGGGGGGCGGAGGAGGAGGAGGAGGAGGAGGAGGAGCGAGCGAGCGAGCGACCTCGGCAGCGGTTGGGCTTCGACGCGCAAGAGCACGAGCCTATGAGTGTTGGGCGCCTGTCAGCGTCCTGAATCGTTGCTGGTTCAATCTTTGGGCGAGGCGGTCGGACGCCTGAGGGAGCCCGTGTGGGCCCACAAAGCCTTGGGCCCCTCGTCGGCCCTAGGTCGTTTCAAACCTCAGATTTTTTAGCAAAACGAGAAGGCGAAAGCACTATGGCCCAACCCTCCCAACCTGCAGCTGTATGTAGTAACGTGCCTAGTGGACGCTCAGGGCACAAGTTATGTAGTGTTGCGCGCATCGCGTGCTCACTGTGCTGCACAAGCGTAAAAGTGTACAGCGTGCATGCACAAGACACGGAACGCTATGCTACAAAGTGCTGCACCCTGATGCCGCGCTCATGTGTCCCGAGAGAGCAAGAATCACAGCTGTTGAAATCCAGGACGCGAAGTGGCACGCATACTGGACAACAAGTAGCGAGTGGCTGGCTAGCCAGTCCGCCATGTATTCGGCTGAGCAAGGCTTCGGAGGTTCTTTGCCGTCGCCGTGCATCGGGAGAGCCGACCCCTGGCAGAAGGGCCTCGGCCGTTAGGCCTTGGCCAAAGCTAAGTCCCTGGAGCCCAAGAGCCCAAGAAGCGAGCGGTCTAGCACAACGGGGGGTGGTGACGATGCGGCTACGGCGTCGCCCCACCTTACATAGGTTGGGGCAGCCTCAGTTGGTATAGCAAACTCTTTATTAGATTGCCCCAACAGAACGCCGAAGCGGTCGAACAATACATAAGGTAGCTGCAACTGCACACTTCAGGGTGTCGTGAAACGCGTGTACTTCAATGCCGAGCATGCTGGAAGCGAGGTGCGGCATCGTCTCATCGCAGTCCCATGCGGTTCAGCATCTCTCTCGCACGTGTGCTGCCCTGTCTGGCTTGTCGGCGTAGCCCTTGTACGTCAACCGCTGAGTATCTCGCATCTGGCGCGCGCGAAACTGGTTCTGGAGTGCGCGCCCTAGCGCGCTCGGTGGAGCCGATCCCTGCACGGGTTTGCCTCCCAAGTGAAGCAGTGCCGAGTGGGCGCCCTGGCGAAACTGCTGGACCGTGAGCGGCGGCGCCTTCAGCTGTTCCTGCGACCCCTCCGCGTTCTGCCCCCCCGTTTTGTTGATCTCGCAAATGAGGTGCTCGTCCTGAAACGGGCTGGCTGCGAGCGCGTTGTACATGATCTGCAGCTTGTACTTCTTCGGCTGGTCCTTCTCGCTGCGCGCTTGCTTGAGACGAAAGTATGGGATGGGGTCTCCCACGTGCAGGCGTGACATGTCGTTCGCCAACGTAGCGAAAATGCGGATGATCTCTTTCGATGGGCTCGGCAAATCAAATTGCGCCAGGCCCCTTAAGAAGGCGACGCCGAGATGTATATGTGGGCTGCCCAAGCCCTTCTCTCCTGCTTTCACCTTCTCCGCGTAGGCCGTCTCCATCTCCGTGCCCTGATCCGTCGCCGCGTTCTGGGGGATCAAGTAGAAGTCCCACAGGGAGCCCGCCAAATGCCTCGCCATGTGCATGTTGTTGAGGGCCGCGCGCATGGGCGTCGTCTCCTCGTCGCTCTCGGCTGGCAATCCATTCCCAGCAGTCGCGCGGCGTTGGGTGGGCCCACCTGGTGCGGCTTGTTGACGTGGCCGATGAGCGGGGGGGGGGGGGGGCAGCTGCCGGGCCGGCTGCGTCGACTGTGTCTGATCTTGGGCGCGGTCCCGATGCTGTCAGCATCCATCCTGCTGGGTGCATCTTCAGCTTCTGGTCCCGGTGCGTGCTCTTGCACGTGCTGCAAGTGAATGTGGAGATCGTGATGTACAATGCCGCAGTGACCACACGTGTAAGGAGGGTCTGGTTCGGACCGGAAGCCGAAGGATACAGAACGGGCTGGGCATCTGCGCGGTCGTTTGGCCGCCATATATAGTCCAGACGTGTTGCGCACACGAGGCCTTGCTAGCGAATGATACCAGACACCGTGGGCATGTGTTCGTGCGTCTAGCGAGCGAATATTCGTTCCGTAGCTGATGAGCGAACGTGACGTGAGCGTTCAAAGCCCTCATCGTAGGATATGTGGCCTTGCATGCTGTGCCGTCGGCCATCTCGTGCATGCACAGAAACTCCCCTTCGTATTCTTCCCCCTCGTCGTGCATGACGTGTCCTCGTGCGCCTCGTTCGTCGTCGTGCACTCGTTCTAGCCATGTGCATAGAATGGGCTTATCAACCCTGAATGTCTTGAAAACCGGTGCTGCTGCTCCGTCTTTGAAAAGCTCGATGATGTTTTGCGTGTCGTGCCACCCGCTCGCGCAATCTAGATTTGGCCGTGCGCCGTGGATCTGGGAAAATTAGTCGCTGTACTGTTGCGTCGCTTTTGCCATAGTGTGTAGATCTGCTAACCATTGCTTTGCCTAGGGAGTGCTGTGCTCGTGAACCTTGCCGGTGGGGTCTAAACGGCGGCGCTTGACGCATTCGTCCAATCTCGTGGCCCCGAAGACTCCCATAAGTACTTGCTCGTGATTCGCGGGGTCCCTGACAATTGCCCTGATCCACTTCAAACGTTGCAGCTGGAGCTCGACGGCAGTGGGCGATAAGTCCCAGAAGGGGGGGGGGGGCCGTCCTGGAAGGCATGCCGTGGATGCGGCCGTCGTCTGTGTGACTGCCGCTTTGCCTATTCATCAGTCCTCAAAGCATTTTTACGATCGCACTGCCCGACTGATCGGTGGAATCTTCAGGTAACACAAGCGCTGACGGTCCAGATATAGCTGCTGAAAACACAAAGCATAAGAAGAGCATCCGCTTCAGCCTGTGCGGGAGCGGCTGGTGCCAGGTGCGTCCTAGCGATCGCCACCCAGCACGTGCTGCTTTAATTATGTTCCTGTTCCACAGCTCCGTGCGCGGCGCGCCGTCGAAGGGGAAGATCGGGCCGGGGGGCCTTGCCTCGCGGTCGACAGTGCCATTCACCGCAGACGGCGCGCGCATCTGCTTGACGCGTGCAAAAGCTCCTTGCCCGACGATATTCACGATGTGTGCTGTCTTCTGTTTGTTAAGATGGTGCTCAGTATTGAGTATTTGCTCTTTCTGTAGATCAGTTGCATGATTAAATTGTGCTGCTGTGTGTTGTGCTGCTGGCTTATATGCGCGAACGTGCACGCGTGAGACATCGACGACGAACATGCCAACCCCGATATCGATCTCCTCTTGTGTTAGTACGCTGCGCCCAGCGAGGAGCTGGTAACTGCGCCCCCCCCCCCCTGTCGCAGCTCGTGGCGCCGCGTCTCAATCCCGGGGGTGAAAACGTCCGCA